GAATTAATATCAATAGGTTATTATAATATTAAAATATTTTTTTTATTAATGTTTTTTTATTAAATTTTTTTTTTATTGTGTTTTTTTTTAATGTTTTTTTTTAATTTTTTTTATCTGTTTAATTTTTTTTTTATTTTTTTTTTAGGATGCATGAGTCACATCCTCAACCTTATCATTAAAGAGGGTTTGAAAGAAATCAGTATATTACATAAAAAGGTTTATAAAATCATGAAATTCTTGGCTAATCCTCTAGCCAGTGATAGGTTAGAAGTATTAAAATCACACTGTAGAATTTCCAGAATAAGTTTTTTAAAGCCTATTCTTGAAATTTATACACGTTGGAATTCCATGCTAGCAATGTTCGAGAGATACCTTTATTTGCATTTGGCAATTCAAGAGATGAGCTCTAAAGAACCATCAATGCCCACTTGCTTAGATGATAAAAGCTTGACAGTTCTCAAGTCCTTTCGTTAGCTCCTTAAACCATTTGAAATTGCCACATCAGTTCTTTCGAAAGACCAGTTAAATTCAATTTCCGATGCATTAACAGTTATATTGGAAATTGGACAGCACTTAACTAAATTTAGGGATAATAATATTAATAATAATTTAATGACCAAAAAATTTGAAAAATATTGGAAATCTATTCTCGAATATGTTATAATTGCTCACATTCTCGATCCACGATATAAGTTGGATCACTTGAAAGCAACACTAATTGAAGTCAGTAGTTATAATAATCATGATGCAAAAATGGTTGTCAATTATATTCGCAAAAAACTTATTACATATGGAGCAAAATATTCCAGCATAAGTTCTTCAAATTATGTTGAAGTTGATAATAATAATAACAATGATAATCCTACATCCATATTCTCTAAAAGAAGAATTGCAAAAGGTGAAAACAAATAGATACAATAGAATTTGAGTTAGAACTGTATGAAAGTGAACTTTCTGAAGACTCAGATGATAGTAATGAAATAGAAAAAAATAATGGGATAAAACTCTGGGAATCATTGTCATCAAGATTCTCAATACTTAGCAAAATGGCTCATGACTTTCTAAGTATTAAACCCTTATCTGTTTCTAGTGAAAGAGCATTCTCAAAAGCTGGTTTCACAATCACTAGTGATAGGGCTAATATTTGTGAAAAAACTGTTTCATGCACAATACTCATACACTCTTAGTTAATAGAAAGCCAAAATGAGCTTAGCCCTTTTAACTCTATTCCATAATTTTTTTGTTATACAGCATATAAGTTAA